TGGCAATGGCACGTATTGATGTTCCATCCTGGAGGAGTTGGATTGCCTGTGCAACCTCTGTAGGATCCAGGTATCACCTTATGCTACCAGTAGTGACACTGACCCTAGCCAAATGCAAATCTAATGAAAAACAGACAGAAAAGATGAGTTGGGAAAAAATTTTAGTAGTCTACACCATTGCTGTTTTGGGGGTCGTCTCATTGTTGCCCAACTAGTGCACCTGTTGTTAATCTGATTAACACCAAAGCAGTTGATTAGCAACCCTCTCTGCTACTTAACTGACCAGATCAATATCCCAGGAGTTTAATTGACTTAATGCTATACTCTTTTAATTTTTTGGAGCAGTGTTTATTAACTGTGCATTTCTATTAATACCCATAGAAGGATCCACCCAGTGTATCACGTCGCCAAAGATACTCCAAGCTCCTTGCAAAAGTTTATTATAAGCTGTGCTTTTAATGAACCATTTCACCTTCTTCCTGCTGTTGACCAGCGTGACTTGTGCAAATAGTCCCCAAAAAGTAAAGACTAATATAGTGTGATACCGCTTATAATCAACACTTGAAAATAAAACTTAAAACCACTCACATTTCCATACCACCTCAATAGTACATACCCCTTTAAATGATACAGATCCAGTGTTTAATAGTGTTCCTCCACACACCTTACCAGATCAGTGCCTTTCAAATCACTTTCCACCAAACTCCTCCACTTTCAAAAGTCCCTTTCCTAACTCCAGCTTTTCTCCAAGGTTCCCATGCAAGAGATATCATACAGAGACCATAGTGCAGTAAATCCTTATAAAACCATACATTTCTTAAAATCTATGCACTTGCAAAACATTCAGTGTAAAAACCGGCTGTCAACTGTTAAAAAAAGAAAAGCGCCTGTAACCACTTCCAAAATGGCCACTGGTGTACTTCCAGTGTCCGTAATTGCGTCAATTGCGGCGTCACGTCTGACTGGTTTCGTAATCAAGGCTTCTTCCTTAACAACCAACAATAATTGAATATATTCATTGAATAACCAATGGCTAGACCACAACTTATTCAACAAATATATTTATTCATTTATATATATAGTTTAGTGAATTGACTTTAGAGTCAGTTTATGCGGTATTTACAGTGTGTTTTTTACTAATGTGGTAAATACCGCATAAACTGACAGTGCAATGACATTTTGAATATCGCATGAGATAAATCCAAAAAATGTGTTTAGTGATCCAATTAGCTCATGTGATATTCTTTAGTGAATTGAGCTCTATGTCACCAATAGGAGTCAATCTTTCAGCAGGCCTTATAGAGCGCACTCTGCCAGGGTGATTTCATCATGAGGAGCAGCCTGCAAAGGTAATTAATGAAAAACCTTCTGCAGGATGGCAACTTGGGCATCATATGGCACCTTCTTGTCTCATTACCTGGTAAATCCGGCATCTCTGACAATGGTCCAGTGTGGGGGATTGGTGCCCCAGTCTTCAGTTCTGTGAAATCTCTACTACATTTTTGAGTCTAATAAATATTTTTTGCATCACCTTACCTTGTTTTCATTGCTACATCCTACAAGTATGCTGCCATGCTTGTGCCAAGAAAACTGGAAATAATATACGTTCTTAACTATCTGTTGTTTTCTATCACGTAAGCATGGCAGCATAGGAATCCCACCCTTCTTTGCACCTAATGCAGTCGTGTGGGACTTAAACTTATAAGTAGGGTTGCCAACTCATCCCTTTAAACCCGAACACATAATAATTACACAGGTTCTGGGGCTAATTTAATGCAGATAAAGCACTAAGTGAGTTTAATTACCACCTTAATCAGCCACATAACCTGTGTAATTAACCATTAGTCGACCGGCCAATGGCCGTTTGGCGGCTTCAAATGTATCCCTGCATTCCGGGTGCCCGCCATTTGGCGTGCTCCCGCACATGCGCCGTTTGCGCTAATGCAGAGCGGCGCAGCAGTGCGATCCGTCACCGGCCGTGCACCTCGGACACGGCCGATGACAGATCCGAGTACCGGCTCCCGTTGCTGGTACCATGTGACCTGCTGTGACCAATCACAGCAGGTCACATGACAGTTGTATACAATGGATGGCTTCATTCATGATGCCATCCATTGTATACTAGTGCCTAGCTGTGAATGGTCACAGCTAATCACATGCACATGTCATGTGACCAAATCACAGCTAAGCACAAAAAAAAAAAAAAAAAAAAAAAAAAAAAAAAAGCTGAATGAATCGATTTCATTCTGGTAAATGCTTGCTTATAGCAAAGTAATTCTTTGCTATAAGCAAATTGTGTAAAAAAAAAAAAAAAAAAATACTGATCACTTCCCCAAAGTAGTAAAATGTTACTATGGCAACATTGTACTACTTTGGTCATAGCAAAATATGAAAAAAAAAATCTTAAAAAAAAATAAAAAAAAGTAATAAAAAATTAAATATAATAAAAAAATTAAAAAAAAAAAATATATATATATATTTTTTCATACTGTCACCAGTCAGTGTCCCTGTTCGCCATGCCAGTTATATGATGATGCTGTACTGCAGTGGTGACAGTATGTAAAAAAAAAATAGTGAAAATAATAATTTTTTTATTTTTTAATTTTCCGAAAAATTATGACAAAAAAATACAACTTCAAAAAACTCGCCATGCCTCTTATGAAGTACGTCGGACTGTCTACTCTGCAAAAAGGGGTCATTTGGGGATATCAGTACTATTCTGACATTCTTGGACCTCAAGAAATTAGATTGGCCGTCAGTACTTCAGGATTGATCAATAATCAGATCTATACCATAGTTTGTGAACTCTATAACTTTCCTACAAACTAAAAAATACATCCTAATTTGGGTTATTTTCACCAAAGACATGTAGTAGAATACATCTCGGCCTAAATTTATGAAGAACAATTATTTATTTGTAAACTTTTATAACAGAAACAAAGAAAAATTTGTTTTTTTTTTTTCAAAATTTTTGGTCTTTTTTTGTTAATTTAGCAAAAAATAAAAACCCCAGCGGTGATTAAATACCACCAAAAGAAAGCTCTAGTTGTGTGAAGAAAATGATAAAATTTTAGTTTGGGTACAATGTTGTATGACCGCGCAATTGTCATTCAAAGTGTGAGAGCGCTGAAACCTGAAAAATGGCCTGGGCAGGAAGGTGTAAAATTGCACGGTATTGAAACGGTTAATATGTGTTCAGTTTTAAAGGGATGAGGTGGCAACCCTACTTATAGGGTAGTCTGTCCTGTGGGGTAAGAAGAAGTAGGTAAGTATACAGTTTTTGAAAGCTAGAGAAGTGTTTATTTTTGATGACCTACACAGCTTGATAAATACTTGTTAGGCAATGTGACTGTGGCTCCCACTAGTGGCCCAATTTATAATGACACCTTTCTGGCCATGCTTCACAGATCTGTCTTCAAAGGAGATGAAATAATGAGAGAAATATGTGTTCCTCCACTGCTGATTTCCTTCTGAAAATGCTAGTTTTTAGAGTTTTCACAAAAACAAGAGGTGAATGTAGATCTTACAACAGGGACACTTGTTCTCGTGACAACTGTCTTGTAACAAGTGAGTGGAATTCTTTAATTATTTTTTATACTAAAAATGGCAGTGATCAGCGACTTGTAGTGGTACTGTAATAGTGTGGTGGGCAATCTGACACTAATTCACACTGGGTAGGAACTGACTAACACTGACATCACCAGTGACACTAATAGATGATAAGGCTATACACTGTTTCTGTACTAATGACACTGGCTGGGAAGGAGTTAACATCTCGGGGTAATTAAGGGGTTAAGTGTGTGTCTAACAAGTGTTAATGTGTGTATTATGTGCTGCTTTTTACTAAAATTCTCTTTTTTCCATCTCTTTGCTTTGCAAAGAGAAGAAACAAAGAGATCATTCCCTCTGTACAGAGCCCTGTGTTGAGTGTCAATACAGGGCTCGGGGCTTTGATTGGACACAGCCGATTAGTAGGTTCCAGCCATGGATCATGTGTGCAATCTCAGCAGGAGTCAGTGGGAGGGGGTGCATGCGCCTGCCCTGAACCCAAGAGGGGCCAGAAATGTACAGGTACATTGCTGTGCTTGTAACAGGCTGCCCATCCACAGTACATTGCAGGTGGGTGGTCCTTAAGTGGTTAAAATAAGGCCCTATCAAATAAAAATAATAAAATGCCAAAATACCACCTCTGAAATAAAATCGCACTTTTTGAGAGAACCCTTGCTGGCAAAAAAAAATTCACCTAAAGTAAAGGCTCTGACAAAGTAGAATAAAAGCTAATATACCCCTGAAATAAATGAAACCCTCAAAAATACCATCACTCTAAAACAAAAGCGCATTTTTTTAAGGGAAGCCTTATAGCAAAAAAAAAAAAAAAAGTTAGCTAAAGGTGACAGGTTCAAACTGGCCAACTTATTTTTCATCTCAGAGACAATGGTCACCAAGACAAACAGAGGGGTGCTCCCTTCTCTCATTGGGGGCACAAACAGCAATGAAAAACCAGCAGAGGGTCTTCCATTCTCTATCCAAAATTAAAAGCAAAAATAAAAAAGGGACAGTTGTTTTAAGAAAAATAAATGAGACATGAAGATAAAAGAGTGGGAGTAGTAAGGTTGGTAAGGGCTTGTCTACACCACAAACTTTTGGCATTGTTATTATTCTTTTATTTTTACTGTGTTGCATTTAAATACATTTTCGGTGTGTCTTGGCACAAAAAAAAAAGCAGCATCCTGTACTTTTTTTGTAAATGCATGTGAAAACAATTGTTAACGGGCAGTGATGTAAAAAATGATCAACACCAATAAGATACTTTTTAATAAATAAAGGCATGCGTATATTTAAGCTACCTGAACACGATAATTTTATTGTGTGATCAACGGGTGAATTTGTTATTTTTATATTTTAAACACATTTTCTTAACATTATAACATGGATGATACAGAAATTCATACTGCACAGCTTTGGTGCGTTTTAAATCTAGACTTAATCGAGAATAAAAATTAACTCTTTGACTTTTCTTGTTTGGAAGTCGTCTTACAGCCCAGCCAGTATTCAGCAATCGGGCGAGGATAACGAGGATAGGTGACATCCACACGCTTTGTCTGGAGGTTGACGCGATAATATTTATCTGTTGGTATAAAAACAAAAAGACATTACACAGGATGAGACTGCTCTTTAGGGGGTTAATGGACAACATTTTCTAGAATGTTCTATCGCTGTTCAAGACTACAACTGCTCAAACAGTTCTCTAACGAGCAGGGCCCTCCGATTCCTACTGTATCAAATTGTATTGTAATTGTCTGCCCTTATGTTGTAAAGCGATGCGTAAACTGTTGGGGCTATATAAATCCTGTATTAAATTAATAATAATAGCTGCTAGTAAGTTTCATGTATCAGTATGATCAACAGTCGATCATTTGTGACTAAACTGATCAACTTGAACACCAATTGGATGCTCCATTTGACTGATTTAGTTGCTTTTGTTTTTACCAATTAGATCGATCATGGAGGTATTTTCGCCGATTTCTTCTAATCAATTGAGCAAATATCTGCCTGTGTGATGAAGACCTGATCATAATAGGGATCACATAAACAATCATTTTAAATGGATTGATGATTGACAGATCTAGGCGATGGCAGAACAAAATAGTGTATGCTGCTTGGTAAATATGTTAATTGATGATGAATCACTTGTTTGCAATCGCTCATACCTCAATCAATCACAAATCATTACATGTATGATTATTGTAATGGAGATTGTGTTTGCTAGATTCTACAGTTGGTTTGTAAAGTTGTGGCCAACTTTAAAGCAGACCTAAAGCCGGGGGCTGCATTCACAAATACATGTTGTGATGTGTTTTGTCATGGGTTACAGCAATGCATGCAAATGTGTATTTTAATATGCTGCTATTCATTTTATACTTCATCCCATCACATAAACAGTAAACAAAAGCACACCTACACTAAAGTACACTAAAGTACACCCCACCGCTATTATTAGCAGTACAGTCGGTATTACAAAGCTAAGTGTACTGACCATTTGATAAATGCATGGTATACAGTAAAGGAAATAAGTATTTGATCCCCTGCTGATTTTGAATGTTTGCCCACTCACAAAGAAATGATCAGTCTAATAACCGAATGGTAGGTGTATTGTAACACCGAGAGACAGAAGAGCAACCAGCATGACAATGACCCAAAACACACACGGCCAAGAACAAAGGAGTATCTCAAGAAGGAGCACATAAAGGTCCTGGAGTGGCCTAGCCAGTCTCCAGACCTTAATCTGATTGAAAATCTGTGGAGGGAGCTTAAAGTTCAGCCACCAAACCTTGATGACTTGGAGAGGATCTGCCAAGAAGAGTGGGCCAAAATCCCTCCTGAGATGTGTGCAAACCTGGTGGCCAACTACAGGAAACGTCTGACCTCTGTGATTACCAACAAGGGATTTGCCACCAAGTACTAAGTCATGTTTTGTGAAGGGGATCAAATACTTATTTCCCTCATGAATATGCAAATCAGTGCATAATTTGTTAGACAAGCATTTCTTTTGAATTTTGTCTTGCTATTCTGTCTCTCAGTGTTACAATACACCTACCATTCGATTTTTAGACTGATCGTTTCTTTGTGAGTGGGCAAACATTCAAAATCAGCAGGGGATCAAATACTTATTTCCTTTACTGTGTATAAGCTATTGTTCAGACTTTGTTAAAGTGGGCCTTGTATGAACATGCTAGGTCTGCTTATGTTGCCTCCCCTTAAAAAAGCTCAGTGAAAGCTACAGAAATACACTGTAAAAAATTAAAAAAATACTCAACCTACACTCCAGCTTTCAGCCTGCTTACCTATGCATGGGTGAATGGAGAAAGTTCCAAAAAGCTGCTTATAGCAATCAAAGGTTTTATTGGAAGCTAAAGGCACAACTAGTTTCAGTTATCACCGTGACACCTTTTACACTCAATAATTCTTAATCAAATGCCATAGTAATGCACTCCTGCAGTGTTAAATTTTCATTAGATCTGGGATCCTCAGATTTCCCATGTCCCCATGGTGAGGCTCAGTGATGCCTGCGGGAAGCAGTTAGATGCTATATGTAAGATAAATATTTTTAAAATTTTTCTGGGGGCTGCAGTATTGTATTTCATGCTCAACATATAACAAGACATTATCAATCAGAGCAGTGGTTCTCAACCTTCCTAATGCCGCGACCCTTTAATACAGTTCCTCATGTTGCGGTGACCCCCAACCATAAAATTATTTTCCTTGCTACTACTGTAATTTTGCTACAATTATGAATCATAATGTAAATATCTGATATGCTGGATGTATTTTCAATAGTTCCTTCTGTGATTGTATACGAACATTTTTGTGCCTGTCCCTTTGGATATTTTCGCATGAACTGTCATGACCAGCCCTCGACAGCGCAGTACTAACGATCAGATTATTATTATTATACAGTATTTATTTAGCGCCAACAGTTTGCTCAGCGCTGTACATTATAATGGGAGACAGATTATCAGAAAGCATTTTTTTTTCGGCACCAGAATTTTCATTTCGGTGCACCACTACCAATAACACGATCAATTGATCAGCCACGGACGGGTAAGTGGATTTCGATCGATATTTGGAAGATACAATCTCAGATTATCGACCACATCTCTGTTCTCACCATGCAATCTCATAAATTGATGGAAATATGGCACAGTTGATGGAAAAAAACATCTCAGTGTGGCCAATCGATGCAAAACGGTCGATTATTTTGCACCCTGGTCAATTGACTGAAGGAATTTGATGGGAACAGAAGGTAATCTGATTGCCAATTGGATCTGATAGTAAAATTGAAGTGTGTATGGCCAGTATTCCCCCCTTCCCCCCAGGGATATCAGCCCTCTCCCACACCAGGTCGTCTGTCCTGAGGCTCCTTGCATGACCCGGGAAAGTTTGGGATTGCTGGTTGCTGTGTACTTCCCTCTAGTCTAGCGGTCCGTGTGCCCCGGTGCCAGCCCTCGTACAAGTGCTGTGAGGAGAAGCCTCCGTGGGAGGTGAGCGGCTGTAGGGCACACGCTCTGCGGGTAACCAGATCCTCCCTCCCCGGAGACAAAGGGGGGCCCCGCTTACATCTATCCAGCTGTTGTGAGCAGCTGCCCACCCGGGAAAACATGTCAGCAGGTGCAAGGGCAGTCAATGGGCGGCAGCGGGGCACCTCCGACCCGCCCCTTGCAGGGGAGTTGCCTCCAGCCTGGCTGGCCGCTCATGACACACAGGGAAGCGGGCCAGTCAGTGTGCTGGTGTTAGTTCAGCATGAGAGGCTCGCAGCCCTGCCGGGCCCCTCCGGCCGCCCTCACCACTACCTCATAGAGTCTATCTGCATGTGGGTGGACCCGCCTGGAGACGGATAGAGGAGCGGTGTCTCAGGTCCTAAGACCATCGGAAATATGTGTTTTCCGATGGTCTTAGGCGACCCCTGTGAAAGGGTCGTTCAACCCCCAAAGGGGTCACGACCCACAGGTTTAGAACCGCTGAAATAGAGCTATGGATATTGAGTTTTTCCTCAGTGTTCTCATTTAAATACTTCTAAATTGCAGAGGTTGCAATTTAAAAAATGGGGTTAGCATTGAAATGAAACCCTCCTGCTCAACACACCTGTAAAAAAATGCTCCTGGTACAATAATGCAACCTACCGTCTTTAAAGAAGTAAACACTCTGAACGGGTTGGCACATAGGTTGACTTTCAGGAGGAAGCCAGTCAGGATCGTCTTCATAATCATCATAACTAAATAAATGCAGATCATAATATGATGGTCTCCTCCTACGGTTTTTCCTGCGGTTGCTCTTTCTCCTCTTACTCCGACGCAATTCAGGTTGTTTCTGCTGGGGTACATAAATCCTGCTTGGCAGTACAGCATCCACTCCATTGGGCACCCCTCTCCAGTCTCTGTATATATATTTAGGTTCTGCACTGTTACCTGTGGGGATAATGATTTGTATTTATATTGGATGTACAAGTCAGTCATTTATGTTTCAGTCTATAAAGCTGTCTAACGCCCAACTCCAGCCTAAGCTATTTTATTTCAATTTGGATAAAGTAGGAAGGGAATCAGAGCACTGTCATGCACCAGGAGGAACCCAGGACCCACTGCACCAGCGTAGGGTTTGACAATGGATCCAAGGATTTCATCCTGATACCTAATAGCATTCAGGGTGCCATTGTCTAGCCTGTAGAGATCTGTGCGTCCCTCCATGGATATGCCTCCCCAGACCATCACTGTCCCACCACCAAAACGGTCATGCTGAACGATGTTACAGGCAGCATAATGTTCTTCATGGCTTCTCCAGACCCTTCCACGTCTGTCACATGTGCTCAGGGCAAACCTGCGCTCATCTGTGAAAAGCACAGGGCGCCAGTGGTGGACCTGCCAATTCTGGTGTTCAATAGCAAATGCCAATTGAGCTCTATGGGGCCAGGCAGTGAGCACAGGGCCCACTAAAGGATGTCGGGCCCTCAGGCCACCCTCATGAAGTCTGTTAGTTGGTCAGAGACATTCACAACAGTGGCATGCTGGAGGTCATTTTGTAGGGCTCTGGCAGTGCTCATCCTGGTCCTTCTTGCAAAAAGAAACAGATACCGGCCTTGCTGATGGGTTAAGGACCTTTTACGGCCCTCCTAGAGTAACTGCCTGTCTCCTGGAATCTCCTCCATTCTCTTAAGACTGTGCTGGGAGACACAGCAAACCTTCTGGCAATGGTAAGTATTGATGTGCCATCCTGGAGGAGTTGGACTGCCTGTGCAACCTCTGTAGGGTCCAGGTATCCTCTCATGCTACCAGTAGTGACACTGACCCTAGCCAAATGCAAAACTAGTGAAAAACAGAAAAGAGTCAGAAATGATAAGTAGGGAAAAAAAATGTAATTGGCCTGCACCTATAAAGCCATTCCTGTTTTGGGGCTTGTCTCATTGTTGCCCATCTAGTGCACCTGTTGTTAACTTCCTTAACACCTAAGCAGCTGAAACTGATTAACAACCCCCTCTGCTACTTAACGCACAAGATCAATATCCCAGGAATTTAATTGACTTGATGCTATACTCTGATTAAAAAGTGTTCCTTTAACTTTTTTTGAGCAGTATATATATATATATATATATATATATATATATATATATACATACATACATACACACATATACACACACACACAGTGCCTTGAAAAAGTATTTATACTGCTTGAAATTTTCCACATTTTGTCATGTTACAACCAAAAACGTAAATGTATTTTATGGGGATTTTATGTGATAGATCAACACAAAGTGGCACATAATTGTGAAGTGGAAGGAGAATGATAAATGATTTTCATAATTTTTTACAAATAAATATCTGAAAAGTGTGGTGTGCATTTGTCTTCAGCCCCCTTTACTCTGATACCCCTAACTAAAATCTGGTGGAACCAATTGCCTTCAGAAGTCACCTAATTAGTAAATAATTACCACCTGTGTGTAATTTAATCTCAGTATAAATACAGCTGTTCTCTGAAACCCTCAGAGGTTTGTTAGAGAACATTAGTGAACAAACAGCATCATGAAGGAAAAGGAACACACCAGACAGGGATAAAGTTGTGGAGACGTTTAAAGCAGGGTTAGGTTATTAAAAAAATATTCCAAGCCTTGAACATCTTATGGAGAACTGTTCAATCCATCATCCGAAAATGGAAAGAGTATGACACAACTGCAAACCTACCAAGACATGGCCGTCCACCTAAACTGACAGGTCAGTCAAGGAGAGCATTAATCAGAGGAACAGCCAAGAGGCCCATGGTAACTCTGGAGGAGCTGCGGAGATCCACAGCTCACGTGGGAGAATCTGTCCACAGGACAACTATTAGTCATGCACTCCACAAATCTGGCCTTTATGGAAGAGTGGCAAAAAGAAAGCCATTGTTGAATGAAAGCCATAAGAAGTCCTGTTTACAGTCTGTGAGAAGCCATGTGGGGGACACAGCAAACATGTGGAGGAAGGTGCTCTGGTCAGATGAGACCAAAATTGAATCTTTTGGCCTAAAAGCAAAACGCTATGTGTGGCTGAAAACTAACACTGCACATTACCCCACACCATCTCTACCGTGAAACATGGTGGTGGCAGCATCATGTTGTGGGGATGCTTTTCTTCAGCAAGGACAGGGAAGCTGGTCAGAGTTGATGGGAAGATGGATGGAGCCAAATACAGGGCAATCTTAGAAGAAAACCTGTTAGAGTCTGCAAAAGACTTGAGACTGGGGAGGAAGTTCACCTTCCAGCAGGACAACAACAATAAACATACAGCCAGAGCTACAATGGAATGGTTTAGATCAAAACATAATCATGTGTTAGAATGGCCCAGTCAAAGTCCAGACCTAAATCCAATTGAGAATCTGTGGCAAGACTTGAAAATTGCTGTTCAGACGTTCTCCATCCAATCTGACAGAGCTTGAGCTATTTTGCAAAGAAAAATGGGTACAAATTTCACTCTCTAGATGTGTAAAGCTGGTAGAGACATCCCAAGACTTGCAGCTGTAATTGCAGCGAAAGGTGGTTCTACAAAGTATTGACTCAGGGGGGCTGAATATAAATGTACATCACACTTTTCAGATATTTATTTGTAAAAATTTTTTAAAACCATTTATCATTTTCCTTCCACTTCACAATTATGTGCCACTTTGTGTTGGTCTATCACATAAAAGCCTAATAAAAATACATTAAGTTTTTGGTTGTAACATGATAAAATAAGCAAAATTTGAAAGGGTATGAATACTTTTTCAAGGCACAGAGGACATATTGCTTCCTCTCCACATCGCGGCTGTCTCCCTCTTCTCTCCCTGTTATTGCACCTCTGAGGTGAAGAATCAGGGAGGGAGATCATTTACACTAATGGCCAATCAGGTGCTTACACCACACCTTATTAACCTGGCCATATGTATTGCAATTACTGGCAGCTCCCATTGAGTTGTAATGCGAAGAGAGAACATCATCTCCACTCCTCATCACAGCTTATTAAACTGCTGCACAATGGAAATAAGCCATGGTAGTCACTATCACAGCTTATCTCAGTCTAATAAACATACAGTTGCAAGAAAAAGTATGTGAACCCCTTGGGATTACGTGGAGTTTTGCATGAATTTGGCATAAAATGTGCTCTGAACGTCATCTAAGTCACAACAATAGAAGAACACAGTCTGCTGAACATAATACTACACAAACATTAGATGTTGCCATGGTTTAATTGCACATAACAGGTAAACATTTACACAGTGCAGGGAGGAAAAAGTATGTGAGGCCCTAGCTTAATGACTTCTCCCAGAGCTAATTGGAGCCAAGAGTGAGCCAACCTTGACTCCAATCAGTTTGATGATATTGGATGTGTTGCTGACAGCTGTCCTGCCCTTAAAAAACACACACCTGTTTTGGGTTTACTGGTTTCAAGAAGCACTGTCTGATGTGAACCATGACTCGCAGAAAAGAGCTCTCAGAAGACCTACGATCAAGAATTGTTGACTTACATGAAGCTGGAAAGGGTTACAAAAGTATCTCCAAAAGCCTTGATGTTCATGTGTCCACAGTAAGACAGACTGTCTACAAATGGAGAAAGTTTAGCACTGTTGCTACTCGCCCTAGGCGTGGTCGTCCTGTAAAAATGACTGCAAGAGCACAGCGCAGAATGCTGCATGGGTTAAGGAAGAATCCCAGAGTGTCAGCTAAAGACCTACAGAAATCTCTGGCACATGCTAACATTTTTTGACACATCTACAATAAGGAAAACATTAAACAAGAATGGAGTACATGGGAGGGAGGACACCACGGAGGAAGCCATTGCAGTCCAAAAAGATAATTGCAGCACGTTTGAAGTTTGCAAAAGAACACCTGGATGTTCCACAGCACTACTGGCAAAATATACTGTGGACAGATGAAACCAAGATTGAGTTGTTTGGGAAGAACACACAACACTATGTGTGGAGAAAAAAAGGCACAGCACACCAACATCAAAACCTCATCCCCACTGTAAAACATGGCGGAGGGAGCATCATGGTTTGGGGCTGCTTTGCTGCCTCAGGGCCTGGACGGATTGTTGTCATTGATGGGAAAATGAATTCCAGAGTTTATCAAGACATTTTGCAGGAAAACGTACGACCATCTGTCCGCCAACTGAAGCTTCGCAGAGGATGGGTGATGCAACAGGACAATGACCCAAAGCATACAAGTAAACAAAACAATGGCTGCAAACAGCACAGAATACGCCTTCTTGAGTGGCCTAGTCAAGTCAGAGTCCTGACCTCAACCTGATTGAAATGCTGTGGCATGACCTTAAGAGAGCGATTCACACCAAACATCCCAAGAATATTGCTACACTGAAACAGTTTTGTGAAGAGGAGTGGTCCAAAATTACTCCAGATCTTTGTGCAGGTCTGATCTGCAACTACAGGAAACGTTTGGTTGAGGTTATTGCTGCCAAAGGAGGATCAACCAGTTATTAAGTCCAAAGGTTCACATACTTTTTCCTCCCTGCACTGTGAATGTTTACATATTATGTGCAATTAAACCATGGCAACATCTAATGTTTGTGTAGTATTATGTTCAGCAGACTGTGTTCTTCTATTGTTGTGACTTAGAAGACGTTCAGAGCACACATTTTATGCCCAATTCATGCAAAACTCCACGTAATCCCAAGGGGTTCACATACTTTTTCTTGCAACTGTACATCTAACTGTCACTTTTGCTGGACAGCTCGGTCTATTAAAAGAAGTCAAAGTGATATTAAAGGCAATAAAAAAAAAACCCCATGTCATACTTACCTGCTCTGAGCAGTGGTTTTGCACAGAGCACCTCTCAGGTCCCCCGCCGGTGCTCCTAACCTCTCCCTCTTGCCCCAGAGCAAGCAGCTTGCTATGGGGGCACCCAAGCAGGCTTGACTCAAGTCATTGCTCAGAGTGTCCAACTACAGAGAGAACCAGAGCTCGGCCCCACACTCTCTCCTCCTCATTGGCATACTGGTTGTGCCTGACAGCCAATGGCTCCCGCTGCTGTCTCAGCCAATGAGGAGGGAGAGTCCCCGGAGAGCTGAGGCTCTTTTGCACATCACTGGATAGCGATGGAGCCCAGGTTAAGTATTAGGGGGCTGCACACAGAAAATGTTTTATCCTAATGCATAGAATACATGAAGATAAAAAACCTTGAGCCTTTACAACCACTTTAAAAGATAACAGACTTGGCCCCTTTCACACTGACTGCAATTCTGTTCTATGGGCAAATGGATGTAAACGGATGATTATCCGTTTACATCCATCTACATCCATGTCCGTTCAGGTCCTTTTTTTTTTTGACAGAACAGCCAACTCCTGGATCCGTTGAAACAGAAAGGAAAAGATGTACATCCGTTCTGTTTATGTCTGTTTTAAACAAGAAACATTTGTTTGTTTATACATTTGTCACATCTGATTGGTTTCTGCAACAACTAACAAAACAATGCAAAAAACAAATGTACACTGATCTAAACTGATGTAAAATGAATCTTTTTCTTTGCTGATGATGCCCCTGTGAAAGGGGCCTTATTGGCCAGATCAACAAGTGGAAAAAAGGCCTAAAAAAAGAAAACTAATGCAGCCACCACAGTTATAGTTTGGTAAGCTGCAATATAATAAGTTTTTGTTTTCGGGTTTAATATCGCTTTGCAAGGATGCTTTCCTCCCAATCTTTTAAATAGCAACAAAGTTGCTGTAAAAATTCTGCTACTTTGTATGCTGTAAAAAAAAACAAAAGAAAAAACAAATACATTTCCACGTTTATGCAGATTTGGGAGAATAGATTTACCTGTGAACCAATTCCCAAACAGTAAACTGAACACATCTTCCCAGCTGTCATCTTGCATTGCAGCATATCGTGTAAATAGCTCTGATGGGGCTGAGCCAAGACACTCCTCTCTGGTGGGTTGCTGAGAGAATTCATATGGCCAGTATTGTCTGCCTGTAAAGATTTTAAAAAAGGTTTTCAGAATTTCAGAAATACCTGTAATTGAATCTTGAAGCTGAAGTGTTATCTACTTCGATTTTTAGATCCCTGGTTCTACTTTCCCCCTTCAGGAACTTGCAAATGACAAACTTTTACCGTCTTGGGGGGGGGTCCCTCTCCCATGGGGGTCACCCTTCGGGGGAGCCCCTCTGAGTACTCAGGGTGGCCTTGCTTCGGCAGGGCTCCTGAAGAAAAGGGTCCAGTGAGTGCCTTACTCCCTGTCAGGAGCCTTGTGCCCTGGGGGATCAGGGCTAGGGACCTTTCTATTCATAGGAGGGCCAGACGTGCACTCTGTGCACTTTTTTGTCTGCTTCACTTTTGTGTGCTCACTTTTTTTTTTGCACTGAGTACTAGTTTTGTGGGTGTGTTCACTACACCACGGGACTTAAAAAAAAATGTATACAAAACTTTTCCCTTCTTATTATATATGTTATGTAAGACCCAGTGATCTCATCACTGGGTCTCTGTAAATCTCTATGCAATGTAAGCATATGATGGGTAGTGGGAGTGTCCAGCAGAGGACTGTACACAGCTCCCTGAAAATATCACAGCACCCTGCCTCAGTTCTTCTCTCAAGAGCCCTCAGCCCTGATACATGCAGTGGTACGTCTTTCGGGAGGAGTATATAAATATCAAAATGCTTTGATGGGTGGGTGTCTGTCGGGTGTATCCATAATTGAAAGAGCTGAAATTTAATGAGCAAAAGGAGTGAACCAGGGACAGTAAGGTGGCAGAGGAAAGAGCTAGAAGATGACAGATCCTCCAGCCAGGAAACAAAAATGGGCTGTATCTGACTTGTGGCAGCTTCTAACACACACTGTGAGAAGCTAACAGTGTGATAGGAAATAAGAGTGAGAGATATCAATACTAGAAAGGACAACAGTGCAAGACTGAAGGTAATGGTGGAGTACAGCTATTAACTGCGGGTACAGGGTGACACCGGACTCGCTCCACGAAAAAGTAAGTTTTAAAGCAAGCCGAGGATCCCTGCAGGATGGATCAGATCTGCGGATTGGGGAGGATAATGGATTGGACTCCAATCCATTTTGCTCAATCCGCAGATCTGATCCATCCTGCAGGGATCCTCGGCTTGCTTTACAACTTACTTTTTCGTGGAGCGAGTCCGGTGTCACCCTGTTCGGTAGGTGTCACCCGGTGCGGCACGCACCTCCTGCACCTGCCTAGGGATGCCCTTGGTCACAGAGATCCGTGACTATTTATTGCACAGGGATCAACCACAGTCTATAACCATGTCTGTGCGTGTGCTATTTAGGACTAATTTTAGGGGGCCAGTCTATTACTTGTGAAGAAATCCAGAAGGCTATTAAGACTTTAGCTTTACAAAAATCACTGGGCCCTGATGGTCTCCCTCATACTTATTAACCACTTGCCTACCGGGCACCTTTACCCCCTCCCTGCCCAGGCCAATTTTCAGCTTTCAGCGCTGTTGCACTTTGAATGGCAATTGCGCGGTCATGCACCACTACCCATATGACATTTTTATCATTTTTTTTTCATACAAATAGAGCTTTCTTTTGGTGGTATTTACTTGCCGCTGGGTGTTTTATTTTTTGCGGTATAAACAAAAAAAAAGCAAAAAATTTGAAAACAAAAGTTTTTCTGTGTTTCTATTATAACATTTTGCAAACAAGTAATTTTTCTTCTTCACTGATGTGCGTTGATGAGGTTGCACTGATAGGCAGCACTGATGGGCACTGATGGGGTGTGGCACGGATAGGCAGCACTGATGGGCACTGATGGGGTGGCACGGATAGGCAGCACTGATGGGCACTGATAGGCAGCACTGATAGGTGGCACTGATGAGCTGGCACTGATGCTGCTGCACTGATATGCAACAATTATGGGCACTGATAGGCGGCACTGATGGGTAGTACTGACTGATGGCACTGACTGGCGGCACTGACTGGCAGCACTACTGGGCACTAATAGGTGGCACTGCTGGGCAGCACTGATGGGGGGCACTGGTGGGTGGCACTGCTGAGCACAGGTGGGTGGCACTGCTGGGCACTTGTGGGCAGCACTACTGGGCACAGGTGGGCGGCACTGGTGAGTGGCACTGCTGGGTACTGATCGTCAGGGCACTTATCATTAGTGCCCTGATGATCAGTGCCGATCCGTCCTCTGACAATTGCTGGTTGTGTGGCTGTGACAGCGTGAGGAAAGTGCAGCCGACCGGCAACTGCATTTACACGGTGATCTGCTGTGTCATTGGACACAGCTGACCATGTGGTAAAAGGCTGCTGTGATCGGCCTTTTACCACATCACGTGATCAGCTGTGTCTGTAGATCACAGCGTTTAAAGAAATGCGTCATATGATACCCTCCCAGAACTGGACAACCACGCTGTTGCTGTCATTCGGCTATAGCGTGGTTGGCAAGTGGTTAAAAAACTATCAGATCTTTTGGTTCCACATATAGCTCTTTATTTTAACCACCTGCAGGATGGAGGTATAGTGCCACTTGATGAGAATAGGGCATATATAAGTGTTATTCCTAAACCTAACAAAGATGCTACAGATGTTCTTAATTACCGCCCTATTTCTCTGATCTATTGCGATCTGATGATCCTCACTAAAGTTCTGGCTTTGCGTCTCAATACCTTTCTGGAAATCTACATTCACAATGACCAATCAGGGTACATACGAGGATGTCAAACACTGGATCAGATCTGTCGGTCTCTAGCATTGATATCTGCAGTGAAATCTAATTGGGATACTTCCCTGCCCAGGGAAATATTTCTTTTATCATTGGACCTTCACAAGGCATTCGATAGTTTGACCTGGGAATACTTATTTAACACCTTGAGCGCCTTTGGGTTTGGCTCCACCTTTATTTCTCTATTGAAAACTTTATATTATACTCCTTCAGCTCAGATTTCCATATGAGGGTATAAATTGTCTCCTCTTCTTATCAGACATGTTACTAGACAGGGTTGTCCACTCTCCCCTCTACTTTTCGCACTGGCGATTGAACCCCTCACTATCTCTATTTGTTCTCACTCTGGTATTCAATGTGGCCGACAGGAGCAAAATTATGCCCTGTTTGCTGATGATGCCCTTTTGTACATCTCAAATCCCCAGGGGTACTAACCTAACTTGTTGACTTTACTGCATACATTTTCTCAAGCTTTGGAACTCTCTTTGAACTCTTCTAAAATTACTACTCTTAACATTACTTCATCCCCTTCAGAGGTACAGACTCTCCGGGACAATTAAGACTTTCAATGGGCTACTTGCCTATCTGGGGGGTTCATCTTATGCCCTCCATTGCGACTCTTTATCGTGTGAACTACCCCTCACTCTTTAAACGGCTTAAAGAAGACCTTCGTCATTGGGCAGACTTCCCTTGGTTTGGTAGAATTAACTCCATTAAAATAAATTTCTTACCTAGACTCCTTTACTTTTTTTAGGACATTACCGATAGCTGTCCCTAGAGGAGAACTATTGCGATTACATTCTGAAGTTCTACATTTTGTGCGGGGTGGTAAACGCCCCCGGATAAATAAATCAGTATTATACTCTTAGAAACCATGTGGCGGCTTGGGACTTCCCAGCTTCCTGGCTTATTTTCAAGCTGCCCAGATAACACAGCTCTCTTATACTACAGCCAAAGGCCCTAAACCCCAGTGGGTTACTACTGAAGCCCTGTCTTGTCATCCTTATGCCATTGGCTCTCTGATGTGGCTTCCCAATCAATTAAGTCCTCCCATTTTATGCCCTACATTAGCTTACTCCTTAGCTGTCTGGGACAGGCTACACATCCATAAATCTCTATCTTCACCTCATACCCCATTAGCCCTGTCTTCTGTAATCCTGAATTCATACCTGGGCTTACACTACCTTTATTTCAGTGGTAGATTAATAAGGGCCTTCTCTGTATCGGGGATTACCTGGATGGGGATCAATTGTACTCTTTACAACACTTTCGAGATAATCACCAGCTCCCATCCAGTGAGACTTTTTGATATAATCAAATTGTGTCCTTTATACGATCCATGCTATAATTATTGAAGGAACCCCTAACGCTCACTTTCTTTAAACTATCCTGTCAAGCTACTGATATGTTGAATATCCACTATATATACTTCCCTTACTGATCCAAAAACCAAGCTCCCTTATATGGTCCATTGGGAACGGGACTTAATATCTCCCTAGAATTGGCTGACTGGCAGGACACTGCTTATGTTCTGTCCAAGATTTCTATCAATACAACACTAATAGAATCTAACTAACTATAAAACACTTCTACGATGGTACTTGGTTCCCAAACGCCTTGCAAAAATACATCCTACCGCATCACTTTCCTGTTTTCGGCGCTGTGGGCAGGTGGGAACCATGTATCACATCTGGAGGCAGTGCCCTTTGGTGTCTAGATTTTGGATCCACATGTTTAATTTTATTTACTCAGTGACAGGAGTAAATATCTGTAGGTCTCCAGAGACAGCCCTTTTTCAAAAGTTACCTTCAGGAATTCCAAAAAAAAATCAATCAAATTGATCTTTTATATGATCCTGGCTGCAAGAATCACTATTGCTAAACATTGGAAGCAGTGCTACCACTTGACTATGATAAAAATAAACTAAATTGGATCATGGTTAATGACAAACTCACCTGCATTCTCAATAACAATACATCGAAATTTGACAGAACTTGGGATCCGTGGATTCAGTACCTTTCCATCCCTTAGCAGGACCACAGCTGACCCTCTTTTACTTCACTCTCTTTTTTTCTAATTTCCTCTCTTTTTCTTTCTTCATACTTTTTGTTTCCAATATTACCTTTTGATGTATCTGATTTTAAAGTACCTGACTGCTGTTTGGTCATGCTCAATATTAATAATTTTTCATAGTGAAATATGTACTGGAGCTCTGTTCATTGTTGCTGTTTACCCTTTTTATCTGTGGGTTACACCAGAGGGACTTCCACATATGTATGCAATATTCATTTCTTCAGTCTTTTTATACAATGGCAATGTTATGTTCATACGTGAATACTATCCTGAGAGCTCAATATCTCTCATCTTTTTGTACTGTCGGTTTGTATGTTTGGTTTTTTAATAAAAAGATTAAAATATAAGACTAATTTTAGCATCACAACTGCTCTCTGTAAAACTTCCCAGAATAAGTCCAACTTAGAGTGTCACATTCCCTTCATTATAATTTTTAATATACTGTATGGAATTATATTCCTCCTGTATTGAATTGTATTATAATTGTGCTGTCTACCCTCATGTTATGAAGCACTGTACAAACTGTTGGCACTATATAAATCCTGAATAATAGTAATAATAATGATAATAATAATAATATGAAAAATAGCAAATGAGCAATTTGAAGAAAAGATGCAATATGGTATACAGCCACTAGGTGGTAGTATTTTCCTTTGTAATGCAGCAACAGAGTTGTATGACTATTATATACAGTACAGTGTCCTCTATAAATACAAACCATAGGCATACTATGCTTTCATTAGAATGCAACACTGACAACTGAAAACTAGCAATTAACATACAGGTATACAATTCATTTTATGCTTTTATCTTTACTTTTCATAATTTTCAACAAAATCATGATTCTAGTGTATGCAACTAATTGGAAGCATAAAAACTATATTCAATAGAAAGTTTTTTGTCTATTTAAATAATTTCAACAAAATAAGTAGCTGCATGCTTAATATTACTGAACTAGTGTTTTAATTGAATTTTATTCCAAAACATTATTTTACAGGGGAAAAAAATCAAATGTACCTTTAAAGAAATAGGCTCTCTCCCTTCCTTGGTAGTTATTGGCAGGCAAGGCGAAAACAGCATCTATATCATTTGGGATGTTGCTAAAACCAACTTCAATGTCCCGAGGATATTCTGAGTCCAGAACACCATCTGAGAATCTCCAGTACTGAGTACCCTGCAGTATCAAGAGAAAGGTGTGAGGATGTGGTTCTGGAATGTAATATAAGAGCATCTATATAATTTGGTATGTTGTTAGAGGACAGCAGTACACTGACTTTCTCAGTGAATGGATGTGCAGGAGGGGACGGGTGGGGGAGCACTTCAGCAGATGTATAATCATTGGAGGACTGCAGGCTAAGTTCTCAGCACAGCCAGAAAACTGTCTGTGGTGTGCTCTGATGCCTAGTATAGTCAGTTTTTATTTGGAAAGAGGGACTGGCAGGAACACCAGGGATTTCACACAAATGAAGCAATATAAAGAGAACAAGATACTTTTTCATACAAATACATGGTACAGCAAGCACATATTAGAAATATGAAATGTAAGAAAGTGCAGTGCTAAAAAAAAAAAATATATATATATATATATATATATATATATATATACAGGGGCGGACTGACCATTTGGAAACTCGGGCACTGCCGAGGGCCCGGGGTCAGTAGGGGGCCCATGAGATGCCCCTGGTACCTTTTTCATAGGCTTTATGGAGTTTGGGCAAGGACACAGGGGCCCCATGATCCTCTATTGCCCGGGGGCCCCATGAGTTGTTAGTCCGCCCCTCTATATATATATGCTCCCCAGATATCACCAGCGCTCACCTATATATTAGATTCTGCTAGATTTATGAAATGTTGAGCTTACATATTCTTTAAGGGCCATTCACAGGTAGGTGTTAAGCATGGCTATTTGTGAAATGTAAGAAACTGGACAGAATGCAAGTCAGACCGGTTGACAGGGGGTATAGGATGGAGGTTGAATGAGTCTCTTCTCCTGGATCAGGAGATTGATCAGAAGATTAGGGAAGAGATTGAAAGATTTTTTCAGGAGAATGAGACAGGGGAAGTGTCGGTGGCTACAGTATGGGAGTCCCACAAGACCTACATAAGAGGTATACTGATCGCGTCCGGGGCAAAAAAGAAAAGGGAAAGAAAAGAGAAACTGACGGGGCTGTTAAAAGAAATATTTGACCTGGAGCAGATACATAAAAATAGAATAACAAAAGAGATAAGACAGAAGGTAGAAAAAAAAGAAAGAAGAACTAGAGATGCTGATGGAAGAGGAAAGGAGAAGAGTTTTCAATAAAGTGGCAAATGAGAGGTATAGATGGGGAGATAGACCAGGAAAATATTTAATGAGAGCCCTGAGGAAAAAAAAGAACAGGGATTATATTGCAAAAATAAGAAACCCTAAGGGAGAAATGGTTTATTCAACTAAAGAGATCACTAAGGTGTTTAAGGAATATTATAGCAAGCTGTATAATATTACTCCCCAGGATTCAGTAAATAAAGGTGGAAATGCGAGTAGAGAAAAAAAGAAGGACATATCTCAAAAATGCTGGACTATCGAAGTTAAGTGAAGATCAACTGAATCCCCTTGATTTAGAAATTATGCAGGAGGAAACAAAAAATGCATTAAAAAGTACCATGACGGGGAAAAGCCCAGGCCCAGATGGTTATACTGTGAGGTACTATAAAAAATATAGTGAATTGTTAATACCGAAACTGAAGAAATATATGAACACTCTAGGTGGGGAGATGGAGATGAGACAAGAATCTTTACAGGCCCATGTGGTGCTTATTCAAAAGGATGGGAAGGATGCTTCTCAGTGCTCTAGTTATAGACCAATCTCACTCTTGAACATAGACACTAAGTTATATGCAAAGGTTTTAGCAAATAGGTTGAAAGATTTAATGCCAGAATGGATCCAGGGGGACCAGGTGGGATTTGTACCAGGGAGGGAGGGTAGAGACAATGGGTTGAGAACTTTGTTGCTTATCCAGAGAGCTAGGAAGGGGAAAACTCCGGAAGTGGTGCTTTCAATCGATGCTGAAAAGGCATTTGATAGAGTAGATTGGAGCTATGATGGACACCCTGGAGACCCTGGGATTGGGAATTAGAATTAGAGAGTGGATAGGAAAAATTGTACAGAGAGCCCTCTGCAGTTATTTTGGTTAATGGAGAGAGGTCGAAAACCTTATTGGGATGTCAAATGTAACAAGACAGGGTTGCCCACTGTCCCCATTGTTGTATGTATTGTCATTGGAACCTTTACTGGCAACAATTAGGAAAAATAGGATATAAAAGGAATACAGATAGGAGGAATTGAACATAAAGTAGCTGCCTTTGCAGATGACCTGTTGTTCTATGTGGGAAATCCTAGGATAACACTCCCAAATTTAATGTCAGAGCTTAAAGGAATATGGGCGAAATGCTATCAAAATTTAAAAAATCAACCCCAACAAATACTGAGATCTTAAATGTAAATCTTCCAAATAGTGAAAAAGAAAAGATACAAAAAGAATTCCCCCCCTTCCTTGGTAGTTATTGGCAGGAAAGATAGAGAATAAATCTATATAATTTGGATGTTGCTAAAACCACTTCAATTCCGAGGATAGTCAGAGTCCAGAACACCCATTGAGGAATCTCCAGTACTGAGTACCTGCAGTTCAAGAGACTATATCTGGACACTTCTATATAATTTGGATTTAGAGGGAGTATCACTACTTCTCAGTGAAATGGGATTGGGAGGAGGGGTAACACGTCTTGGGGGCGCATCAAATTGATAAAAAATGGTATCATTGTACCTAAAATCCTATATAAATTCCAGATGATCCCAATTAGAACTGCCGGAGGTGTGCTTTGCCTAAGGTCAGTTAATTTGGAAAGAGATGTTGACAAACATATACAGTTGCAAGAAAAAAGTATGTGAATCCCTTGGGATTACAAGATGGACTTTTGCATACATTGGTACAGCAAGCACATATTAAAATGTGAAATGTAAGAAAGTCAGTCTAAAAAAAAACAATATATAGAACACAGTATGTATATATAAATATATATATACAGGGGCGGACTGACCAAAACTTAGGGCATAGTGCCCGAGCCCGTGGTTCAATTGCCCATGAGATGTAAACATGGTACACAGTTCATAGGGAGTTTGGGCAAGGAAGTAGTGAGGCCCTAGCTTATGACCTCTATTGCCCAGAGCTAATTGTTAGTCCGGAGTGAGCCTATAACCTATGCTCCAATATCACCACGTGATGATATTAGATTCTTGCTAGATTTATGAATGTCCTGAGCTTACATATTCTTTAAGGGCCATTCACAGTAGGTGTTTAAGCATGGTTTTGTTGAAATGTAAGAAACTGTCAGTAATGCATGTCAGACCGGTTGACTGGGTATAGGATGGAGGTTGAATGAGCTCTTCTCTGAAGACCTGACAAAGATTATGGAGAATTGTTAGATTTTTTCAGGAGAATGCAGGGAAATGGGTGGCTACAAAAGTATCCCACAAGACCTTGATGTATATGTGCGTCCCACAGTAAAAAAGACAGACTGTCAAAGAAAAGAGAAAATTTACGGGCTGTTAAAAAAATATTCTGACCCTGGGCGGTGGTCGTCTGTAAAAATGAGCAATAGCACAGCGCAGAATGCTGCAGAAGGTAAAAAGAAGAAGAACAGAGTGCTGATCAGCTAAAGACCTACAGAAAGAGTTTTCAATAAAGTGGCAATACTAAGGTTAAGATGGGGAGATAGTTGACACAATATTTAACAATAAGGAAAACATTAGAACAAGATTATGGATTGCATAGGAGGACACCTAAGGAGGAAGAAATGGTGCTGTCCTAAAGAGATCACTGCAGCACGTTTTAAGAAGTTTGCAAGCTGTAGAGCTCCCCAGGATTCAGTAAATAAAGGTGAAATGCCACAGCACTACTGAAAAATATCTCACTGTGGACTATCGATGTTAAACCAAGATTGAGTTAGAAATTATGGGAAGAACAAAAAATGCATTAAAAGTACCATGTGTGGAGAAAAAAAGATGGCACAGCACACCAGGTGGTACTTATAAAAAATATAGTGAATTGTTATACCCCACTGTAAAACATACTAGTGGTGGATGGGAGAGACAAGATGGTTTACAGGCTCATTTGGTGCTGCCTCAGGATGGGAAGGATTGTTTCTCAGTGCTTGTTATGGGACCAATGAATTCTTGAACAGAGACACTAAGTTATATGCAAGGTTTTTGCAAAAATAGGTTGAAAGATTTAATGCCACGAATGGATCCAGGGGGACCAACTGGGATTTGCTACGCAGGGAGGAGGGTTGATTGCAATGGGTGAGAACTTTGTTGCTTATCCAGAGAGCTAGGAAGGGGAAAATTCAAAACAAAACAATGGCTTTCAAAATCGATGCAGAAAAAGGCATTCCTGATATAGAGTAGTGGAGACCATCAGATGACCTGACCCTGGAGACCCTGATTGGAAATGAGAGTGGCATGGAAAATTACAGAGAGTTATTTTGGTTAACCAGACATCCCAAAATATTGGGATGTCAAATGTAACAAACAGGGATGCCCACTGTCTTGTTGAATGTAGGATTGTGGAACCTTTACTGGCAACAATTAGGGAAAAATCATTGGATGCAAAAGGTCTACAGATAGGCAACTAACATAAAGTACGCCTTTGCAGATGATGGGTTTCTATTGCTGCCTAGGATAAACTCCCAGGGTTGAATGAAGAGCTTTAACCAGTTATTATGGGGAAAGGTTATCAATATTTAAAAATCAACCCAACAAAAACTGTGATCTTTACATGTTTTCCTCAATATAGTGAAAAAGAAAAATACAAAAAGACATTCCCTTTTATATGTTAGAGAGATAAATATCTAGGGGTTTATATACAAACTTGTATAAGTTTATAACTATATCACACTTCTTGAGATTAAACATGGTGACTAAAGAAATTGGGGAATTAGGTGACGTTTGGATAGGGCGCATATTAAAAATGGTATTGTACCTAAAAATCCTATAAAATTCCAGATGATAATTAGACCCCGAGGTTTTTTTTCAAGGTAATTAAAAAGATGTTGGAACTGTATATGGAAAAATAAAAAACCTAGAATATCTTATGATCTGTTGAGTAGAAATAAAGAGAAGGGAAGATTGGGAGTGC